TCAACAGAAACTCTTCTTTCACAAGAAGGGCATCCAAGTACCTGGAGTAGTGAAGTGGTGATACTTCCGGGAAGCTCAGTGAAAGGACCAGTCTTAAAGGAAGCCAGGAAGTGCATCCCAGGAGACATCTACACTTGAAGGAGACGTGGAGAGGTTCTTAAGTGATAGGACTAAGGCGTTGTAAACGGTCGTTTTTACAAGCTTAGTGGAACAGTGGATTAGAGGAACAAGTTGTTCCTTGACCCACTATAAAAAGCCCTGTTGTCATTTACTTACTGCATATATTTATTGATCTTATTTGAACTGTTTAACTCCAAAGACTTGGTCTCTGTGTTCAGCAGAACTTGTCCTGTGAGTTAACAGAAGGCCTTCTTCCTTTGCTTCTCTGAGGCTAAACTAACAGAACCCCTACCAGAACCCCATCTGCTGCCAATCTGTTCTGCCAACAGAACAGGCTATTCTGTTAAATCTGGTACTTAGCTTGAAAAAGCTAAAAACCAATACAGTCTATTCACCCCCCCTCTAGACTGTATCCAGTACAACCGGGACCAACAAGTGGTATCAGAGCCTCCTTGTTCTAATAATCTCTTAGGTTATTTGCTGAACAAAGATCCACTTGTTTTTCTGTTTGCCTCATTTTTAATCTGATATAATGGATCACTCCCTTTCCAAGAATCTTATGTTCTCAGATCTTAAGTTTGATGGCTGGAGAATCCGAATGAAGGCACATCTCTGTGCTCTGCATGATGAGATGTGGGAAGTACTTGACATTGGGCCATTCACAAGTTTCCAGAAAGGTCAACCCTGAGCATGCTATTGACAACACCAGACCTCATATGTTCAATAAGGCCAAATCTGAGTGGACTACTGAAGAAAGAAGGAAGTACAATCTGCACAACATTGCTAAAGACATTCTTTACAAGTCCATCGATGATAGATACTTCAACAGGATAAAGAAGTGCAAGACTGCCAAGGAAATATGAGATACTCTTGAGTTCATTGGAGCTGGTGATGAGCAAGAGAAGGATAACAAGCTGACTATAGCCAACAAGAAGTTTGATGACTTCAAGCTCCTTCCTGGTGAAAGCATCTCAAAGATGTATGACATGCTCCTCACTCTCACTGGAGAAATCACTGAGCTTGGCAAGGAACTTACCACCAAGGAGATCAACCTCAAGGTGTTAAGAGGATTGCCCTCAGCATGGAAGATGAAGGTGGTTGCTGTCCAAGCCAGCAAGGATGTGAAGACTTATCCTACTGATAAGCTCATTTCAGATCTCTAAGCTCATGAGTTTGAAATGATTGAAGAGAAAGAAGATGTACCAGAAGAAAGGACCACCACAGCCCTCACTGCCAGTACATCAAAGGTAAATGATTTTCATCCCTCAATACTTTTATCTGATGAATATATGGCTGCTTTTGCTAGGAGATTCAAGAAGTTTATGAAGAATCCCAAAGATGAAAGAAGTCCATCATCCAGCAGAAAGCCCTTCCAGAAGGTCAAAACAACAGAGAGCAGTGGTGAGCTTCTCTGTTACAACTGCAGACAGCCTGGACATTTCAACGCAGAGTGTCCAAGAGACAAGGGCATGATGGAGAAAAGAAGAAATATGAAGACAATACCAGAAGGAGGAAAGCACTCGTCACAGAACAGCTCGAGAAAGACCCTCTGTCTGAGACAGAATCCAGTTCTGACTCCGACTCTGATGAGGCCTTCTATTGCCTTGATACTGAGACATAAGACCTATGCCTCATGGCTCATTCTGATGATGAGGGAACCTCTACTTCAACATCTAGTTTTTCTTCGGTAGGCTTAGCTTTTGATTCTGATTCAATGTCAGAATTTTGGGAAGAGTTTAAGGCCATCCAAGCCACTTGATCCTCTGTCATAGAAGAAAACAGAAAGATGAAGGTTGAGATTCTTGACTTAAGAAAGGAGGTTGAGATCAAAATCAATCTTCTAATCAAGGAGAGAGATCAACTGGAAGCTGAAAATGTTTCTCTTCTTAAGAGAATAAGAGAAATTGAGCCTCTTGAGATTAAGTACAAAGCTTACTTAGAAGGCCGAGTCTTCCATGGAAAAGATTGTACTTGATCAACAAATTGGCATTGGCTTTGGTCTTGGTTATGGCTCAACAGAATCAGGTGAGCCTTCTGTAATGCCTAACACCAGAGTTGCTAAGGCAGACAAGGTCATAGTGCCACCGATCTCTAGCCCCATCTGCCAAGCTGGTGTATATGGCACCAAGGTTGTTCATGAGGAAGTCAGACCAGAAAAAGGGAAGATAAAGGTTCAACAGAAACCCTTTTTGAAAATTAATGAACCTGGCAGAAAACCTAACAACAGAAAGGGTTTTCAGAATAACAAAAATAAAAGACCATTCATTAACAGACAACCTCATGATAACCATGCCATAAATGATCACCCGAAGGACAGATATCAAGAGAGAGTTAACTTTAGGCAGAAGAGGTTGGCTGGTCAACTTCAGAAGCCCAAAGCTAACCGTCCCTCTGCTCTTGATAGTATATGGGACTTCTTTCCAACAAAGAAAGCTATGCAAAAGTACATAAACAGGAAGCATGACCCTCACAAGCATCCGCCCAAAGTGAATCACACTTCAGTTTACTATAACTACCAGGTGGACAATGGGTACCATCCACCAAGGTTTCACCTGATGAGACCAAAATTGTACCAACTACCCAGACTCCATGACCCCCAGGACCCAACATTGCTTGGGTACCTAAATCCTTCTTTTGATCTTGCAGGAACTGTGTGCTGGAGCTATCTCAGAGCAAGAATGGTTTATTGATAGTGGATGCTCCAGGCACATGACAGGTGACAGAAGTTGCCTAACAGAGTTCCAGAAATGCAAAGGACCTAGAGTTACCTTTGGAGGAAATGACAAAGAAGGCCAAACAAAAGGAAGAGGGGAGCTGATCAAGAACCAGATAGTCATTGATGATGTCTCACATGTCAAAGGCCCGAAGTTCAACTTGCTGAGTGTTAGCCAATTCTGTGACAAAGGCTACACTGTTGAATTCACAAAGGACTTCTGCTATGTGAAGCATGAGACAACAAAAGAAGTGGTTCTTACAGCATCAAGGAAGAAGAACATCTTTGTGGTTGATTGGAAAACTGCAAAGGATGGAGTTTGCCTGATAGCCAAGGGAGATTCAAAATTAAGCTGAGACTGGCACAAGAAGCTTAGCCATTTGAACTTCAAAACAATCAACAAACTGGCAAGAGAACACATTGTTGATGGACTGCCAGACATAGTATACAAGAAAGAGACCCTCTGCAGTGCATGCCAGAAGGGAAAGTAACAGAAGAACTCTTTCAAACCCATTGCTGGAGATCTTTCTACAAGTCCTTTAAATCTAATTCACATGGATTTATTTGGACCTGTTGAGACTCCAAGTGTTGGTGGCAAGAAGTACACCCTAGTCATGGTTGATGACTACTCCAGATATACATAGACTATCTTTCTGTCAAAGAATAATGAAACTCTTCAGAAGTTGCCATCTCTGTTAAAGCACCTTCAGACTGAGAAGAATTTGAAGGTTAAGACAATCAGGTCTGACAGAGGAACTGAATTTGTCAACCAAGTCATAAAGGACTTCTGTGATCAAAATGGAACCTTTCATCAACTCTCTGCCGCCAGAACCCCTCAGCAGAATGGCGTAGCAGAAAGGAGAAACAGAACATTAAAAGAAGCTGCAAGTACAATGATTGCAGAATCTGGACTACCAATGAGATACTGGGCTGAAGCAATCAACACGGCATGATATACCCAGAACAGAAGTATGATCAATAAGAATCACCAGAAGACCCCTTATGAACTTTGGAAAGGAAGAAAACCTAACATCAGTTACTTTCATGTATTTGGATGCAAATGCTATATTCTTAATAATGGAAAGGAGCATCTGAAAGTCTTTCAAGAGAAAGCTGATGAAGGTATTTTCATAGGATATTCAAACACCAGTAAAGCCTAGAGTACTCAAGAAAAGAACTCTACATGTTGAAGAATTCATACATGTAAATTTTGATGATAGCATCTCTTTTAAAGAAGTAACAGAGACCCTCAAAGAAATCAACATAGAAGACAGAGCACCTGAACCAACAGAAGAGGTAGCAGATAATCCTGCATTTCCAACACCTGCACCAAACTCCCTTCTGTTGAATGAAGATGAAAATTCAGAAGATGAAGAACCAGAGAGACCCAGACAGCAACTGACAGAACCTGATCTGACATGGTTAAGAGATCATCCTCCTAATCAAGTGATTGGTCATATCAGAAGTGGTGTGCAGACCAGATCAGCATCAACAAGGAGAGAAGCAATGCTTGCCTGCTACATATCTCAGATGGAACCCATGACTATAGAGAAAGCTCTTGCAGACTCAGATTGGATCAATGCAATGCAAGAAGAGCTTACTCAATTTGAAAGGAACATAGTATGGGAACTTGTTGCTAGGCTAAAGCACCAGAATGTCATTGGAACAAAATGGGTATTCAAGAACAAAGCTGATGAAGATGACAACATTGTAAGGAATAAAGCAAGGCTATTAGCTAAGGGTTACTTCCAAGAAGAAGGAATAGATTTTGATGAGACTTTTGCACTAGTAGCCAGACTAGAAGCCATCAGAATAGTTCTAGCCTATGCTGCCTACAACAACATCAAGGTCTACCAGATGGATGTCAAGAGTGCATTTCTGAATGGAGATCTTGAAGAAGAGGTTTATGTGGAACAACCACCAGGTTTTGTCATTCCTACTCACTCCTCCTGTGTCTACAAACTTAAAAAGGCCCTTTATGGTCTTAAGCAAGCTCCCAGAGCATGGTATGACACACTATCCCTATTCCTAGTGAACCATGGGTTCACCAAGGGAAAAGTTGACAAAACTCTACTTCAAATCTCTGTTGCTAATCATATTCTGCTAGTACAAATATATGTTGATGATATTTGTAACACCCCCAAATTTCCCACCCAAAACATTGATATAATTGAAATAAAACTTTTATTTATTGATAATAAAATTTAAAGAGTACAGCGGAAGTCTAAAATAGGGAAATGGGTGTTACCGCCACATCCGGTCATCTCTCAACCGGATGCACATGCAACTAAAACAGAACAATAAAAACTAATAAATAAATGTTTATTTCATGACTATATTTAACTAAGGCATCTTCTAAATCGCTCTCAGGTTCAAGCAACCAATCAGTCAACATAAGCTTCCAACTCATCACCTGTTAAAATTTAAAGGAGGAGAAAGGAACAAGAAAAATAACAAAAATTAGCTTTAGAGCTAAGTAAGTACTACCCAACCCCATAAAATAATCATGTTTGACTAAAATAGATCTTTATATAATAATATATAAAAATACTCACACCATCGAAATTGTTTTCACTTTGATTTTTCTCAAGACTACTTCTTTACAAAAATCCTCAACTTCTCTATAAAACTTCATAATAACTCTTCTCTTTGATTTCCTAAAAAAATCACTTCTTCTCTAACTTCCTAGTAATTTAGAAGGGCGGTGCTCAACCCTTTCGGTAGGGCCCGGTGGACCGTGGTTACGGACGGCCACCCCGAACAAGTGCCGGTACCACAACTGCTCTGTTGGAAACGAAACGACTACCTTAAGTGTGTGCACCCCCTAAAAGGGATTCCAAGCCCTCCGAGTAGTAAGTCGTAACGGGTAGTCGGGACTCAATCTACCAACTACCCCTGAATAAGATATCTTGAATGATTAGGGACTACTACTACCATAACTTCTTCTTAAAAGGGATCATCGATCCAAATATCACTTTAAACTCAAACTGTACTTCTTAGTAGTAGCAAACCTAATCACCCTCCACATTTATCCGGACGTGGAAAACCGACACCACGGATTTCTCCCGTGATGCTTGTAACACCGTCCCCAAATGTATTTATCTTTAAGCGAATAATTCATTGAACCCTATGAAATTTTTAGTGAATTTACGAGGTTGTGAATTTGTATTAATTTTTTCGCGTGAATAGTAAAATGCACGTGGGGCCCACATCGGGAGTGGGGACCGCCCGATATTATCGGGACCACATATCATATTCATCTGGGTCTAGAAAATATTTATAGATGGTGGATACTTCATTTGGGCCATGGAAAGGCCAAGAGTTGACCGATCGGTCAATAGAGGCCCAAATACCGGTATCGATAAATTTATCAGATAAAAGCCCGAAAGTGGATTTTGGAGATTTATAAATTAAAGTTGGGGAATGCATATTCATTCTAAATGTTATAATGATTAAGAACACGTAATATATTTATTTAACCCGATAAAATAAAATATATCTAAAACAGTCCGGAAAATACAACTTTCGGGGCAAATTGTACACTTTGGGGCAAACTAGGATGACCTCCCAAATGGGTGGGGGCCACCCCACGAATTTTTCAACCTTTGGGGGCTGGATGAGGGCTAAGTTGGCTGAATAACAATTGATAGGATGAGGGAGACACCCTTGACACTTAGTATACCCCATCTCTTCACTCATTTGTCTAAATGAGACAAAAACCACCCCTCTCACCTCACCACCTCCACCCACTCGTGGCAACACCCAAGTATAGCAAGGAGGAGCTCTGAAATTCACCATTTTCACACCCAAATTCGAGCTCAAGGTGGAGGATCCAAGGAGGAGTGTTTGGAGAAGGAAAAAGGTGTAGGAAAGTGTGGAAATTGAGGTAATCATCTTGCCATAGCTTTCCCTTTATTCTCGTTCTACCATAATGAATATTTACTATATGGATAACCCTTGGGATGGTTCTCCATGCTCTAAGTATGGATTTATGGGTTGGAAAGTGGTTCTACGTCCAAGAACGGACTTAGGAGCCAAATCGACCGGTTTGCCGGAAAATAACCTTTTATAGGTTATTTGTGTTGATATGGGTTTTGTGATGATAAAACCTTGTTAGGAACTTGATTTAAAGTATTTTTTAGCTTCGCCAGAGTTTCGTCGGAGTTGGTCAAAGTTCACCGGAGGTGGTCAAAGTTCGCCGGAATTGGTCAAAGTTCGCCGAAATTAGTCAAAGTTCAATCGAGAAGCGTAGAACGCGCTTAAGCTTAATTAAGGTGAGGATGACTGACTATGTTGCTTATAATCTTTGGGTTAATCTCATGGGATTTCCTAAGTGAATACAAATGTGATGTGCATGGGTTGTTAAGGGTTAATAATGCCTAAATAAAACTACTATTGATTATAAGTATAATATGCATGATACACAAATTTATGAATAAATTGTGTATGTTTAGATGTTATGAATATGTGTGTATGATGGTTGTACCAACCATGAATTTCATTTGAGATAGTATACTTTGATACCATGAGGAGAAGTCATGAAGGTATGAAAGTGATACTTGATATTAAGGCCAATCATGCATGAAGGAAGAATTATATTGAAATAAATAAATAACTAGCATTTAAATATTAGTTGGAAATGTTAGTTGAGAAATGGATGAATTAGATCCTAAAAATGTGAATTATAAAGAATCGGTGATTTTGAGCCGGGCTCGAGACCGATGTAGATAACGGTGATTATGAGCTGGGCTCTAGACCGTAGTAGATGACGGTGATTATGAGCTGGGCTCTAGACCGTGGTAGATGACGGTGATTATGAGCGGGGCTCTAGACCGTAGTAGATAACGGTGATTATGAGCTGGGCTCTAGACCGTAGTAAATAATGATGAATTGATACTAAATGAACGGATTAACTATAATGTGATAATGCTCTAGATTGAGGGCCTCAGAGATTTAAACTTCGATTATACTTAGTATAGTTGTAATTGTACTTGTCAAATGCTTCCAAGTACTGATCTCCCCTTCACGGGGGAGGCCACCTCACAGTTTCAGGTAGAACTTGAAGGTTGCTACCATCAGCCGCTGTTTCGGGAAGTTTCTGAGAAGAAGACTTGGTTCGTGCTTCTTCCGTTCTTGTTTTGAAAACAATATGAATAATACTCATGGATATTATTTTCTGAATATACATTTCGGGGGTTTGTATACCCAGGTTTGCCAAGTGTGGCTTGTACACTTGTAATGTTGTTTCTGCTGTTTTAAATGAATGATTTACATTATGTTTGTTTATGGATGTACTATGTGTGAATGATATTCATGACGCCTGGTATAGTATGGATGAGTTGGACTGCGGTTGACTATTCGTACTGTGCGGCGGGTTGTTGACGTGTCCGGCTAGGTCCGGGGCGTGACAATTTAAATGGTATCAGAGCCTTAGTCCGTAAACATCATACTGAAGCTTCAAAATTTCTTTTTGAAAAATGAATTTGAAAACCATGAGCATAAGTTTTGTACTTATAGAACTTTTGGTACTTGAGTTGCAATGCCTCTAATTGTTAAGATAGTACCCTTAACAATTGGTATGGCGGTGATTTGAGCCAAATGATGTCTTTAAGTACCCGTCCGTCATTTGACATTCGATACGAGTCTAATGACTCATTCTAATTTCTTTCAGAAATGGAACCAGTTTGAAGGATCACTAGAAGGAACCCGTTGGGCCGTGCACCGGGTGGGTCCGAGCGCGGTAGCCGGGGGTCCTCTAGGGGATCAAGAGGAAGGGGCCGTGGAGGCCAACGTCAAACCGTGAGCGATGGCCACGTTGATACCGAGAGTGAGACCTATTGGTCCTATGAGGACTCAACCTACCAGCCGGGGACTGAGCCAGTTGAGACCCCGTACGAAGGGAGTGATGATGATGTGAGTGATGAGGAGGAAAGTGGCTCCTTGGCCAGGATCGAAGCGCTGCTCCATCAGTATCATCGGGAGCGCGAAGAAAGGAGGGCACGCCGAAGGCACCGTGCAGAGCAACCTGCGGGCGGGGCTTCAAGAGGGAGGAGCTATTGCGATTCGAGAAGCCATGTGGAAGCGCATGGAAGTCGCGGTGATGGAGGTCCAGCCATAAGGATCTCCAAATACATCAAAGAGGCGAGGGACTTAGGGTGCAAACCGTTCGATGGGACGGGAGACATCTCGGTTGCCGCACAGTGGATCAAGAGGCTGAACGAGGCAGCCCTTGACATGCAGCTCACCCCCGATTTTAAACTGAGAATCGCGGTAAGGTTACTCGAAGGGTTGGCATCCAAATGGTGGGATGGAACCAAGGGTAAGTATGGCGGAACTATTACATGGGAGGATTTTCGACAAGAATTCTTTGCCCAGTACTACTATGACTTCGAAGTAAACGCCAAGGTGAGGGAATACACTCTCCTAACCCAAGGTGGTAACATGACGATGAAAGAACTTGAGAACAAGTTCAGAGACCTTGCTGATCATATACCGGAGTATACTTGTGCTGAAAACCGAAAGGTGAATCATTTTTGGGAGGCCTTGGACTTGGAGATACGCGACAGGGCAACTCAATTGCCCAACATGACTTTCAGCCAAGTGGTCGCCCAAGGGTTGAAAGGAGAAAAGCAATGGGAGGAGAGGAAGAAGAGAGATGCCGAAGAGGCTAAGAAAAGAAAGTGGGAAAGCCATGGCCCCCAAGGTCCCAACAAGAAGGGGAACCATGGGGGAGGTGGATCGTTCAGGGCACCGGCAGCACCATCCAAGGGAAACCCGGCCACTACTCGGGCTCACAAGCCCCAACGACGCCCAGGTGCAGGAATTGCAACAGGAACCACGCCGGTAAGTGTCGTGATCCACCACGGTGCTACCAATGCGGGAGTACAGGGCATATTAAGCCAAACTGCCCTCAACTTGGTGGGAACCGGGGGTCAGGACCAAGCGGCGCTACCACGGCAAGTAGGAACCGGGCCGGAGCATCTCATGCTAGTGTGGGCCAGGGGGAGCGAGCACGAGCAATGTGCCGTCCGTGAATCAAGGAAGAACTCAAGCTAGAGTTTATGCGATGACGGAGGCGGACGCACGTGCTAACCCGGACTCCGTGGCGGGTAAGATCTTAAACTCATGATATTACTCCATTGTATGCAATAGGAGTGTTTGTAAGGTGAAAAAATTTGTAACCCCGATGGTTTGGTCGGGATTGTTGGGAAAAGGGGAGGAAAAATCCCCGCCCGGCTTTCGTCTTGAATTGTTGGGAAAATGATGCGGCGACGAATGCCGGCCGGTTTCCACCAAAAGCCGCCCGGCTTTCGTCAATATTTAATCAGGAGAATCCTCGCAACCAAAAAACCGGCCGGCTTTTGTAAAGACCGGCCGGCTTTCATAAATGCCTGACCTGGGAATTTTCTCGCAGCTGAAAGCCGCCCGGCTTTGGCGAAAGCCGCCCGGCTTTCGTCGGGCCTAGGGATTCCTGCGCTGCTGAAACCCGGTCGGGTTTCGTATAAACCGGGCGGCATCGAAACCATTCCCTGAATAAAAACTACGGCGACGAAAACCGCCCGGTTTTCGTAAAAGCCGCCCGGCTTTCGTGATTAAATACTCAGAATTATTCTCGCAGACGAAAACCGGCCGGCTTTCGTGAAAAGCGGCCGGCTTTCACCAAGGTCGGTCCCAGAACGGTTCTAAGGGTTAGAAACCGGGAATTTTCGGACGGGTGTCAAACGGACCCCACCCGAACCACGACTAACATACTCTACGACTTAAGAAACAAGCCTATTAATTAGATAGTGTGATTTACATTACTTATGAATGTAGGAATACTAAAGATAAACGGGAGAGACGCAAGGATCCTTATTGATACCGGGGCGCAACGATCATTTGTGAGTGAGGCGTTCGCCAGCGGATTCAACAGACCACTTGTACCGATGACTCAAACCCTATTGGTGTCCACGCCTCTAGGGGATGATATCGAGAGAGAAAGCCACTATCCATCGTGTGAGGTGGAGGTGGAGGGACAGAACTTGACGTGTGATTTCGTACCGCTGAGTATGATCGAGTTTGATGCAATCCTCGGGATGGATTGGCTTGAGAAACATCATGCTAGGGTCGATTGCTACACGAAGATTCTTGAACTCGAAGGCGGTGAAGGGGTGACCTTACGCTTCGAGGGAGATAGAGGCAAAACAAACAGTTGTATCATATCCACCGTGAGGGCGAGGAAAATGATGAGGAAAGGATGCCACGCATACCTAGCGTATGTGGTGGACAAAACCAAAGAAGAGATAGACATCAACGATGTGAGAGTTGTGTGCAAGTATCCGGATGTCTTCCCAAAAGACTTGCCGGGACTTCCACCCGATAGGGAGATTGAGTTCGTGATCGAGGTCGAACCCGGCACCAAACCAATCTCTATACCGCCATACAGAATGGCACCCGCTGAACTTAACGAGTTGAAAACCCAATTGCAAGAGCTATTGGATAACGGTTTCATAAGGCCAAGTCACTCTCCGTGGGGAGCACCGGTCCTTTTCGTGAAAAAGAAAGATGGAACACTTCGAATGTGCATTGACTATCGTCAACTGAACAAGGTCACAATCAAGAATAGGTATCCCTTGCCTAGAATTGATGACTTGTTTGATCAGCTCCGAGGAGCGACGGGGTTTTCGAAGATTGACTTGAGGTCGGGGTACCACCAACTGAAAATAAAGGAAGATGACATACCGAAGAGTGCATTCCGCACAAGGTATGGTCATTTCGAGTTCCTAGTTATGTCGTTCGGGCTAACCAACACCCCGGCGGCATTCATGGACATGATGAACCGTGTGTTCAGTGAATACTTAGATCAATTCGTGATAGTATTCATTGACGATATCTTGATATACTCCAAGAGTGAGGAGGAGCATGAAGATCATTTGAGACTTGTACTTGAACGGCTAAGGGAAAAACAACTCTTTGCCAAGTTCTCTAAATGCGAGTTTTGGCTCAAAGAGATCGGGTTCCTCGGGCATGTTGTGTCAGGTTCGGGCATTGCGGTGGATAAAGCCAAGATAGAAGCCATTATGAATTGGGAGAGACCCAAAAACGTGAAAGAAATACGTAGTTTCCTCGGCTTAGCAGGATATTATCGTAAGTTTGTTGAAAAATTTTCTGTATTGGCGTCTCCATTGACAAAGCTCACAAAGAAAGGGGCCAAGTTCATATGGGACGACAATTGTGAGAAAGGGTTTCTCGAACTAAGGAAACTGCTTACAGAAGCACCATTCCTCGCTCTACCCACACAAGGGATAGGGTACGACATATACAGTGACGCTAGCATCCAAGGGCTTGGATGTGTTCTAATGCCAAACGGTCGGGTGATTGCCTATGCTTCAAGGCAATTGAAGAAACACGAGGCAAACTACCCTACCCACGATCTAGAGTTGGGAGCGGTAGTGTTTGCACTAAAGATTTGGCGGCATTACCTCTATGGGGAGACGTGTCACATTTTCACCGATCATAAAAGCTTGAAGTATGTATTCACTCAAAAAGAGTTGAATATGAGACAAAGGAGATGGATGGAGTTGATCAAGGACTATGACTTGATCATCGACTATCATCCCGGGAAGGCCAATGTAGTAGCCGATGCACTGAGCAGAAAGAGTACATCGGGGACGTTACGCGCGTGTCTACGCTCACTAAGGGCACAAGTGGAGGTGTCCACGAGTGGGGTCCTCATTGCTAGATTCGAGGTTAGGCCTACATTACTGAGTGAGATCAGTAGATGTCAGGCCACTGATGAAGAATGTCAGAAGATCCGTGAACAGATCCTTGAGGGACCTGTTGAGAACTTTCGGGTACGTGATGACGGTCTTTTATTGTTTAAAGGCCGTGTATGCATACCAAGGAATGAGGAGCTCCAAAAGTCAATACTGGAGGAGGCTCATTCTTCAGCGTATGCCATGCATCCAGGAGGTACTAAAATGTACCGAGACTTGAAGGAAAGTTACTGGTGGTCGGGTATGAAGAGGGACATCGCAGAGTACGTGAGTCGGTGCCTTACTTGCCAACAAGTCAAGGCGGAACATCAGCACCCGGCGGGACTTTTGCAACCACTTACCATTCCAGAATGGAAGTGGGAGCACGTGACCATGGACTTCGTGGTGGGGCTACCACGAACAGTGAACAACTATGATGCAGTATGGGTAGTGGTTGATAGGCTCACCAAGAGTGCACACTTTTTGCCTATCAACATTACTTATCCTCTTGAAAGATTGGCAAAGCTATACACGGAGGAGATTGTGAGACTACATGGAGTTCCGATATCCATTGTCTCGGATAGGGACCCACGTTTCACATCCCGATTTTGGCCAAAATTTCAAGCATCTTTGGGTACGAAGCTAAAGTTTAGCACAACCTTTCACCCACAGACGGATGGGCAACCCGAGAGGGTGATACAGATTCTAGAAGATATGCTTAGGGCATGTGCTCTGGAGTTCCAAGGGAGTTGGGACAAGCATTTGGCTCTGGTTGAGTTCGCCTATAACAACAGTTATCAGGCGAGTATTGGCATGCCTCCATACGAGGCATTGTATGGGAGGAAATGTAGAACACCGTTGTGTTGGGACGAGGTTGGCGAAGCCAAGCTCGAGGGGATTGAACTTGTCGAAATCACCAAGGCTAAGGTGAAAGTCATTCAGGATAGGCTCAAGGCTGCCCAAGATCGGCAAAAGAGTTATGCTGACAAACGACGCAGGCCATTGGAGTTTGAGGTCGGTGATAAGGTATTTCTAAGGATTTCTCCTTGGAAAGGTATCATCAGATTTTTATCGAGGGGAAAGCTTAACCCCCGATACATTGGCCCATTTGAAATCCTTGAAAGGATAGGGGCCGTGGCTTACCGTATCAAATTGACGCCAGGACTTGAGAAGATACACGACGTGTTCCATGTATCGATGCTCAAGAAATACGTGCGAGATCCGTCTCATATCCTTGAGAAACCACCGGTAGAGATACGTGAAGACCTACAATATGCGGTGGAACCGGTAAAGATTGTGGGTCAACAGGTAAAGAAACTGAGGAACAAGGAGATTCCTATGGTAAAAGTCCTTTGGAGGAGTGATCGAGTCGAAGAAGAAACCTGGGAGACTGAGGTCTCAATGAGGGAGCAGTACCCTTTCCTTTTCGACTAGACACGCGGATTTCGGGGACGAAATCCCAAATAAGGGGGGGTGAACTTGTAACACCGTCCCCAAATGTATTTATCTTTAAGCGAATAATTCATTGAACCCTATGAAAATTTTAGTGAATTTACGAGGTTGTGAATTTGTATTAATTTTTTCGCGTGAATAGTAAAATGCACGTGGGGCCCACATCGGGAGTGGGGACCGCCCGATATTATCGGGGCCACATATTATATTGATCTTGGACTAGATAATATGTATATGGTGGTGGATACCCCCAAAAACACTTAGTTTCACGAATCATCTCAGAATCACATGCATAAAAGTCATACTTCACACTTAAAATCACGTATCACATAATACATATATAATATGAGGAAACGATTTTGGATTGGCAGAGAAACTTACCTTAAGTCTTGATGCTCCTACTTGTTCTCTTCTATTCTTGTCTCTAAGGATCACCCTTTTAATTAAGATGACATAATCAGTCACTAATTCTATTAAGAATTTCCCTGATTTTATTTTATTTTTTATTTTTTATTTTTTTAATTTATTAATCCATTACTTTTGTTCCTTGTCCACCTTATTACGATTTCTTAATCCAGCCCTCTTTAATATTAAAGCTTCATTAAAATATTCGAATTATAAGGTAAATAGTATTAAAATATTCTTATTTTAATATTAGTAATTGCCGTTAATTAAATACGTTCTTTAATAAATATCACACCTTAAGTTTTTATAAACAATCAAGATCATAATTATAGGTTAAATGTTAGAACTTCTATAATGATATTTCAGTATTATTAAACCGTACGAATGGCCTTTTACTTTATTTTTTATAATGATTCTACTCCGTTTCATTTAGTCTATCACCATACATTCGGTAATAGATCGATATAACCCATTTTGATCTAATTCTTTTTTTCTTTTATTATTATTTTGTTACCAATTACTAAACGTCCCTTAAATTTTAAATTAGTCTATTGATATAACCAAATCACCGGCCGTAATTGTATTCTAATGTCAAAATATGTAAAATGAATAATCTTCTTAATCGTATAATTTAGTATAAACACTATTTATCCGATTGTAACTAAGGTAATACCAAACCAGAAATAATGATTAGTCCATTTATTAAGTCCAAGAATTATTACATAATTAACTCAACTAATAAGGTTAAAATTCATCCAAAGTGAAATATATCAATTCCTCAGTCCGAATTCAACTAGTAATATCCAGATTCAGATTTTTATTATTAAATTTATTTATAGATTATTATTATTATTATTATTATTATTTAACAATTCATTTTTCCACTGATCAGCCAGCCCAATCTCGTTATTATTACTAAACCGTGTAGCAACAAAATCATCAATAATTCAGCCCAAAATACAGAGAATAGAATACGCATGCCTGCAACGTCGTTCCTAAGGAAAAATGAAGAAGCAACAGTAGTAGCGTCGATCATCTTCCTCGTTGTGCGACCAAGGTTGTCTGAAACGGCGGTTTGGTTCTGCAGCGGCGACAACATCGTCAAACTCAGAGGTGGTTCTTCCTTCTCCGGCGGCGCGGCTAGTTCCTTCTCCGACGAAGGTAGTTTTCTCCGGCGAGACGTTCCAGAACCAGCCCAGCGATGGATACTCCCTCTAGCGACGGTCCGCGATTCACTCTTGCGAAGGAGACGACAGTTTTCAGGCTTCCCCCGACATGCGAGCTTCTCTTCTCCCTCCGACATGAAGTCCGGTGCTTGACGGCTTTGGTTTTGTTTCCTCTTTCGAAACACTCATTTCTTGGTTTGCTTTTGGTGGGGTGTATGCGATGAGATGCACATGACGGATACCGTATTTATACACACTTTGGAGGATTCTAGATGGCGTTACAAATCGGGTATAGTTATTCCTTATTTATGAGCCTTCCTTGTTTAGCTGGGGACTACGCAGAGAAAGTTCTGGACGTATATAGGTGTATACCGTATGTGTATACGTTTGCATACGTATGTGTATATTTTATTTAATCTTAAATTCTTAATGTGTGTGTATGTAGTATATATGTAAATAATATAGGACGGCTGGGTAAGTGCAATCTCATATATATATATATATATATATATATATATATATATATATATATATATATATATATATATATATATATATATATATATATATATATATATTTATACGGAGTACATGTTTATACGAAGTACTCCCTCCGTAAATAAACATCTTATTTCATTTTTATTTTATCTTATTTTATTTGTATTTAAATTTTTGGAGTGTCACATTCTACCCCCCTTAAAAGATGTTTCGTCCCGAAACATACACTAAAGTCCAATGACAAAATTCTAAAGTATTACATTCTATCTCCCTTAAAAGAATGCTTCGTCCCCGAAGCATAATTCTTAAATTTTCTTAGGAGTATTCCTATTCAATTTTCTACTCAATCACATACATAAGAGTAAATATGCACATATGCCCTAGCCCCTAGAGTTCTTCTCACTAGTACTAATCAAGTCTTTTGAGCAACATAACACTAATACGGCTATCTTAATTAGGCAACAATCACAGTTCACATAATTTCACATAATTCTTATGTCATCAACATTAATCCAACATAAATCATAACAAATTAAGCATCCCACCATCTCACCGCGATCCTAAGCCTTAAACTTTATTCCTAATCAGGTTCTTTAATCCTAATTAATAAAATAATTAAGTCCATAAAAAAAATTAGAAAACCTTTAAATGATTTTGAAAACATTTAAAAGATTTTGTAAAACAAAGTCTCTGATACCAATTTGTAACACCCCCAAATTTCCCACCCAAAACGTTAATATAATTGAAATAAAACTTTTATTTATTGATAATGAAAATTTAAAGAAAGTACAACGGAAGTCTTAATAAGGGAAATGGGTGTTACCGCCACACCCGATCATCTCTCAACCGGATGCACATGCAACTAAAACATAACAACTAATTTAATAAAAATAAAGTGTTTGTAAAGTAAATGTTTATTTCATGACTATATTTAACTAAGGCATCTTCTAAATCGCTCTCAGGTTCAAGCAACCAATCAGTCAACATAAGCTTCCAACTCATCACCTGTTAAAATTTAAAGGAGGAGAAAGGAACAAGAAAAATAACAAAAATTAGCTTTAGAGCTAAGTAAGTACTACCCAACCCCGTAAAATAATCATGTTTGACTAAAGTAGATCTTTATATAATAATATATAAAAATACTCACACCATCGAAATTGTTTTCACTTTGATTTTTCTCAAGACTACTTCTTTACAAAAATCCTCAACTTCTCTATAAAACTTCATAATAACTCCTCTTTGATTTCCTAAAAAAATCACTTCTTCTCTAACTTCCTAGTAATTTAGAAGGGCGGTGCTAACCTTTCGGTAGGGCCCGGTGGACCGTGGTTACGGACGGCCACCCCGAACAAGTGCCGGTACCACAACTGCTCTGTTGGAAACGAAACGACTACCTTAAGTGTGCACACCCCCTAAAAGGGATTCCAAGCCCTCCGAGTAGTAAGTCGTAACGGGTAGTCGGGACTCAATCTACCAACTACCTCTGAATAAGATATCTTGAATGATTAGGGACTACTACTACCATAACTTCTTCTTAAAAGGGATCATCGATCCAAATATCACTTTAAACTCAAACTGTACTTCTTAGTAGTAGCAAACCTAATCACCCTCCACATTTATCCGGACGTGGAAAACCGACACCTCGGATTTCTCCCGTGATGCTCACCTCTTATGAAATCATTCTTTTATCTTGAATTAATATACTTCAAAATATTTCTCAACTTCTCAAACTGCTTTAAAAATATTTAGATAAAATATTTACCCCCAAAAGCACTTAGTTTCACGAATCATCTCAGAATCACATGCATAAAAGTCATACTTCACACTTAAAATCACGTATCACATCATACATATATAATATGAGGAAACGATTTTGGATTGACAGAGAAACTTACCTTAAGTATTGATGCTCCTACTTGTTCTCTTCTATTCTTGTCTCTAAGGATCACCCTTTTAATTAAGATGACATAATCAGTCACTAATTCTATTAAGAATTTCCCTGATTTTTTTTTATTTATTAATCCATTACTTTTGTTCCTTGTCCACCTTATTACGATTTCTTAATCCAGCCCTCTTTAATATTAAAGCTTCATTAAAATATTCGAATTATAAGGTAAATAGTATTAAAATATTCTTATTTTAATATTAGTAATTGCCGTTAATTAAATACGTTCTTTAATAAATATCACACCTTAAGTTTTTATAAACAATCAAGATCATAATTATAGGTTAAATGTTAGAACTTCTATAATGATATTTCAGTATTATTAAACTGTACGAATGGCCTTTTACTTTATTTTTTATAATGATTCTACTTCATTTCATTCAGTCTATCACCATACATTCGGTAATAGATCGATATAACCCATTTTGATCTAATTCTTTTTTTCTTTTATATTATTTTGTTACCAATTACTAAACGTCCCTTAAATTTTAAATTAGTCTATTGATATAACCAAATCACCGGCCGTAATTGAATTCTAATGTCAAAATATGTAAAATGAATAATCTTCTTAATCGTATAATTTAGTATAAACACTATTTATCCGATTGTAACTAAGGTAATACCAAACCATAAATAATGATTAGTCCATTTATTAAGTCCAAGAATTATTACATAATTAACTCAACTAATAAGGTTAAAATTCATCCAAAGTGAAATATATCAATTCCTTAGTCCGAATTCAACTAGTAATATCCAGATTCAGATTTTTATTATTAAATTTATTTATAGATTATTATTATTATTATTATTATTTACCAATTCATTTTTCCATTGATCAGCCAGCCCAATCTCGTTATTATTACTAAACCGTGTAGCAACAAAATCATCAATAATTCAGCCCAAAATACAGAGAATAGAATACGCATGCCTGCAACGTCGTTCCTAAGGAAAAATGAAGAAGCAACAGTAGTAGCGTCGATCATCTTCCTCGTTGTGCGACCAAGGTTGTCTGAAACGGCGGTTTGGTTCTGCAGCGGCGACAACATCGTCAAACTCAGAGGTGGTTCTTCCTTTCTCCGGCGAGACGTTCCAGAACCAGCCCGGTGATGGATACTCCCTCTAGCGACGGTCCGCGATTCACTCCTGCGAAGGAGACGACAGTTTTCAGGCTTCCCCCGACATGTGAGCTTCTCTTCTCCCTCCGGCATGAAGTCCGGTGCTTGACGGCTTTGGTTTTGTTTCCTCTTTCGAAACACTCATTTCTTGGTTTGCTTTTGGTGGGGTGTATGCGATGAGATGCACATGACGGATACCGTATTTATACACACTTTGGAGGATTCTAGATGGCGTTACAAATCGGGTATAGTTATTCCATATTTATGAGCCTTCCTTGTTTAGCTGGGGACTACGCAGAGAAAGTTCTGGACGTATATAGGTGTATAACGTATGTGTATACGTTTGCATACGTATGTGTATATTTTATTTAATCTTAAATTCTTAATGTGTGTGTATGTAGTATATATGTAAATAATATAGGACGGCTGGGTAAGTGCAATCTCATATATATATATATATTTATACGGAGTACATGTTTATACGAAGTACTCCCTCCGTAAATAAACATCTTATTTCATTTTTATTTTATCTTATTTTATTTGTATTTAAATTTTTGGAGTGTCACATTCTACCCCCCTTAAAAGATGTTATGTCCCGAAACATACACTAAATTTCAATGACAAAATTCTAAAGTATTACAATATTATATTTGGTAGTACTAATCCAGAACTACGCAAAAAAATTTCTCAAGTGATGCAGAGTCAATTTGAAATGAGTATGATGGGAGAACTCAGCTACTTCCTAAGACTACAAGTCAAACAGGTTCCAGAAGGAATCTTTATCAATCAAGGAAAGTACACCAGAGATCTGATCAAGAAATTTGGAGTAGAAGGCAAATCCTATGTAAAGATTCCCATGAACACTTCTCAAGGGATTGGTCCGGATGATGAAGGCAAAGAAGTTGATGCAACTACCTACAGAGGAATCATAGGATCTCTGCTGTATCTGACTGCAAGCAGACCAGATATCTCATTCTCTGTTGGAATCTGTGCCAGATACCAATCAAAGCCCTAGGAGAGCCATCTTAGTGCTGCAAAGAGGATCATCAGATATATCAAAGGAAATCCAAATGCAGGCCTATGGTATCCAAAGGGAGGTAACTTTGAACTAATTGGTTTCTCTGACTCAGATTTTGCAGGTTGTAGATTGCACAGGAAGAGTACCTCTGGTCACTTCCAACTGCTAGGAGGAAGGCTTGTTTCCTGGTTTGGCAAGAAACAAAATTCAATCTCAACCAGTACAGCAGAAGTTGAATATATTGCAGCTGGGAGTTGCTGTGCTCAGCTACTCTGGATGAAGCAACAACTAAAGGACTATGGCATTCAAGCAAAGGAAATCAAGCTGCTGTGTGACAACACCAGTGCCATTGCCATCACCCAGAATCCAGTTCTTCACTCCAGGACAAAGCACATTGAGATCAGACATCACTTCATTAGAGATCATGTTGAAAAGAAGGACATATGCATGGAGCATGTCTCAACAGAAGACCAGCTTGCAGATATCCTGACAAAGCCTTTGCCTGAGACTGGATTCAACAAACTGAGAGAGGAATTGGGAATGATGGATGAAATTCCAAGAGACAGTTGAAAAAGAAGAACTTCTGTTGCAGACTCTCTGCTAACAGATTACCTGATGCAAAACCCCTTCTGTTCTCTATCCTGAAC